CATCCAGTTTCCATGATTTTTTTATTTAAAATCAATATACATTGGAAACTTGATTATATGATGTAGTTTTTAAAAAAATTTACCTAGAACATATAGCATTGTACTGTAGCTTAGTGTACATTTCATAAAGTACAATATACAGTGATTTCCAGTTACATAGAGAGTTTAGTCTCTAAGTCATCTGTCAATTGTAGTGCTGTGAAACTAATCCTATATTTAACATTATTTAATGTTATACAATTATGGGTATACCTCTAGTTATGTCGTTCTCAATTATATGTCATTTGTCAAAAAATAAACTTGATTTTTATTTTTCCATATAAGTCACTTTATTCGACTTTGTTTGTCCGCCACAAACATTGAAGTCGTAATATCACTATAAAAGTGTTAAAGCACATAAAATCATATTAAAATTATATTAACATTTACTGTAAATGTATATATCATCATAAATCCTAGAGAACAAAACACGAAAACATTGTGTTTCTGTGTTGTCATCTTATTTAGCGGTCTTTAAGTGCTCAATATTGGTGTTTTCCACAATAGCTTCAATATCTACCATTTGGCATCGTTGTCAGCGCCACTTGATATTGGTAAATTTAATATAAATTATTAAAATTATCTTGCGACAGTACAAAATAAACTAACTGTATTTGTTATTTAACCTTACAAAATCATTTTATTTTATAATGTCTTAGAGCAAACCACATTCACAAATAAAGAGTCCGCAATGTACTGTAAACATTGCCAAGTTGCAAACATGGACATTTACAAGTACGTATTGTACGTACATGAATTAATAAATTTAGATAAATTTCAGTTTTTAATATAGTACAGAAAAAAGTAATTTGTTTGTAAGCTTAAAATAGATTCTTATTAACCATATATTATTAGGAATTCTTTTGGATAAACGACGCTCTACTGTACTTGCAAACATGTACATTTATATGTATGTATTGTACGTACATGAATTCATAAATTTAGATAAATTTTAGTTTTTAATATAGTACAGAAAAAAGTAATTTGTTTGTAAGCTTAAAATAGATTCTTATTAACCATATATTATTAAAAATTCATTTATAAATAAAATACAAAACTGGAAATGGTTATTTGTGGTTTAGCCTAGTGACAAGTAAATTTGACTTATGTTGTTTTTTGACTTAAGATGCCTCTCCTGGAACCAATTACCAATGTAAGGCGAGGTATACCTGTACTAAAAATTCTGGGCTTTTACTAAACAGATTAGAGGATAGATATTCCATAGCATGTATATTCTTTTATCAGCAAGTGTTTCTGATATAAAATAAGCTTAGTNATTTTTCTTTCAATTAACTTCAGCTTTAATTAACAAGTGTATCATCCATCAACTAGAGAGTTAAAAAACTATCACAAAAATCCCCATAAGAGTGTCCACCCCCTAGTACTGTCAGTGGGCCGTTTGGTTGGCGACACACTGCACTACTGCGCTCTATGTAGCAATGCAACACTGGTCATGATGGCGTATATAAAACTAACTTCTTCAATATATTATTAAAAAAATTTTTTTTAACTTTGCGTCAACTTTACAAAATAAAGGACGTATGGTCACTGTAGGTATACCTGTACTGTATTTGAAGATTACATTAGATTTTGAGTAAATTAATTTTTGTTCATGAAACATTAAATGTGCAGTGCATGATGTAACCAAAACAGAAAAATAAAAGTGTTTCTGGATTATCTGTAAGACTCCTAGTGTCAGATAATCTACTCCCATGGAGATGGTGCATTCAATTGTTTTGATCTTGAAAGTAAAAGAAGCAATGGAAACATCAACAGATTTAAAGCCATAATAACTACACAGTGAAAAAACCTCATTCATGAAATGGAAAATTACTGGGAATCTGTCAAAACAGATTCCCAGTAATTTAAACTTATTTGATAGATACAAAACCAGATACAAAAAGAATAACAGTGACATTTTAATAATTCAAGCCAAGGCATGCAATATCTTTGAATGCATGTGAAGTGAAGAATCAATGGTTTCAATGTTTCATCAGATATTCAACCTGCATAATCAAAGTATCAGTGGTGAGATGACAAGCATGGATGTAGAAGCAGCAGAAATATTTGTTGACCAATTTGATGAAATTATCAAGAAAGTCAATTACTATCTGGAAGAGATCCTCAATGTGGATGAAACCAGACTTATTTTTTTTCCTTTCAAAAAAAAAAAAGCCTGAAAGATCACACAAAGAAAACAATTCAAAGCTTTTAAGAACAGGATCATGTTGCTGGGTTTAAGATAGCCTTTTTTCATCTATTGCTCCAAGAACAACATGTATTGAAGCAGGTTAGTAAGCACACACCCATCCTATTTACTATCATACAAATAACAAGGCACGAATGATGCAAGTTTTATTCAAGGATTGGTCCATCAACCACTTCATACCTCAGTCAAGTATGATTGTCTGGAAAAGGGCATTCCTTTAAAATTAACTTCCTGCTCAATAATTCTCCAGGACACCTCCCAGCATCTTGTTGACTTATACCCAGATGTAAAGGCAGTGTATCTGCATAAAAACATGACTAGCCTACAGCCAATGAATTAGGAGCTATAGCTACATTCAAAGCATAGTAACAACAGAAAGTGATGAAATAACCCTTTGTGATTTATGGAAATTTTATTTGATGTTCTTTATGTAAAATATTATAACACCACCAAAACCTTCAAAATATACCAGCAAATATAATTTAATATCAATACGATATGACACATTTTCGATCCCAATAGGATCTGCGTCAGGTCAAAAATGTTCAATAGAATTAGAATGCTAAATGTTTGAATTTAAATATTTTAAAATTGTGGGAACTGTAAACTTGTTCTAATGTTTACAGTTCCCACGATTTTAAAATATTTAAATTCAAACATTTAGCATTCTAATTCTATTGAACATTTTTGACCTAACGCAGATCCTATTGGGATGAAAAAGGTTTGTCATAAAATATACTTGCAAATATAAATATGTTGAGAGTTTTGGTGGTATTTTGTAGTGTATAACCAGCTATGGGAAGATTCAGAACATAAAATCAGCTTGGGAGGAAGTGATAGAAAAGTGTGTGCATGGCATATGGGAAAATGCCTAAAAAACTTGGAACACCTTTTCAATTAAATAAAAGTAAAAAGTTATAAAGAAGATAATGAGTTACTCTTTCCTTAAAATGTCACACTTCTCTTTGACTCACAAATCAGTCTTGTCTTAATGTTAAAACTATTAAAATTAAACTCTTATTTGAATAAATTTCACACAAAACACTTAATATATATTTGAGAACAAACTGCATCATAAGATCCAACATTCAAAAAGAAATTATTTGAAAAGAACTAGTGACATAAAAGTTTTAGATGCATTTGGTTCTTCATTATTTATTTTATACTAGTTACAAAGAATTACTTTTCTTTTGAATCTAACAAATTGTCTTGTCTTGATGTTCTTAGTGAATTGCAGACTAATACGGCAATAAAGAGTTGAAGAAAACTATCACATTAATATTAAAATTAAACTCTTCAGTTAAAGTTCTATAAAATTCTAAATCTTCCCACAGCTGGTTATATATTAGTAAATAACATCATCAAAACATTCAAAAATATATCAGCAAATATAATTTTATATAAATATGCTATGACAAACTTCAATCCAAATAAGATCTGCTTCAGGTCAAAATGTTTGATAGAATTAGAATACTAAATTGATCTTTTAGCATTCTATCGAATTAACATATTCTAATTCTAACATTTTGATCTGAATCAGATCTTACTTGGATCAAAAATGTTTGTCATATCATATTTATATTAAATTATATTTGCTGATGTTATTTATTGCTCTATAAAATATTTTTAGGTGCTTGTTTTTTCAGATAATTTTCAATATTAGATTTCAAGATGAGATTTGTTCTTAAAAGCATTTCACAGAAATTCTATTAAAAATCTTGAGAAGTTTATTTTTTAACTTTTTATTTTATTTATTATTACTAGTAAAAATCATAATTTCCTGTCTAGAAAAGACATTTATATTTATTTTAAAAAATTTGTAGATTATTATGAGAATGAATGAAACTTATAAATATTCTGAAAACTTTAAATCAATATTTTCTATCCAGAACACTTATCACAGATATACATAATAGCAAAACATTGAAAGCATATTTCACATTTTAAACTTAAAATACTTCATACATAATCACTGTTGTAATTCTACATACTCAATTTGAAAATAAATTGCCATCATAATAAGTAATGTGTACCATATTTTAGCACATATAATCTATAATGACAGTTTATGCCATTGTAAGTTATATACAAGAAATATACAAATTTGCATAAGCTTTATAAGCCCTACTAATTATGACAAAAATTACTAGAACAAGTCTGGTAAAATATTTGTGTCTACATACAGTATCTGTTGTTGTTATAATCTAATATTTCATATAATATTTAATTAGTAATTATCATATGTAATTTTGCTTGAATAAAAGTAATTATTATTAAAAGTAAGTAAAGTTACGCAATTGAATTTTCTATATTATTTTTATATTAATAAAGAAACATTAGCTGACAACTATCAATTTATAAATTTAACACTTCCACTCACTGTACCAACACTAATTTATAATTGAACATACATATCTAGAACAAGTATTTACTTTTTTTCAATTGAACTGAAAATTTAGTTATATTTCTAGAATATGAAATATAGAGAACAATTTCAATCTAAACACTGTTTATTACAAGGATATTATTTAAAATGTAATGCTAAAAAAAAGAATAAAATTATCATATTAACATAAAAAAACATTCAAAATAAAAATTGTCATTTGTTAAATATTTGTATATAAATGTCAATCTATAAATTAATACAGTAAATATAATTATAATTCAGAAAATTAAGCTGTTATAAATATTCTCAATACTTTGTATTAATCATAACTTTTATTCAAAACAATGTTGTGGATTTTAATCCTACCTTGATCTACTTGTATAACAGTTTTACTCCGTTCGGGTCCAGAATGAGTGCCATCTATAGATATTTGGGTACAGGAAAAAACGGGAAAAGGAAAAAAGCAGAAGAAAGAAGTGGAGTGAAATATAAAACTTGTGTTCAATTGTTAGTAGATGATGGATAATGTTGAAATTTGTTTATTTTTCTGAGGCTTTGTTTTTTCAATATAGAACTTAACTATTTTTAAAAATATTATGTCTAGGTTTTAAATAAAACTTATTTTAGTTAAAATATATAGATCTAAATATTTTTGTAATTTTAATAATTATTAAACTTATACATATACACTTAAATTTATATATATATAATGTATATGTATGTTAACAACAATTTTACATACTACATGCGTATATAAATTATTTTCATTTTATAATATAACTGCTGTTATAATTTTTCTACTTTTATTCAAAATATATCAACTTATTTAAAATCAAATTTTATTTTAAATTATAAAAATTTCCTTGTTTTAAACAATAATTTCAATTAAAATCATTGCACTTATTTATGAAAAATTACAAAAATTAAAAAATGGAAAAATCTAGCAAATATCCTGGTAGAATAAAATTCTGGTTGATTATACTACACATATCAAAATGCAAAAAATCTATTCAAAATCCAAAATTAAGGAACTATCAAAAATCTGACATCTGAAGTCAGCAGAAAAATAATTGTAAATATCATTTTATAATAATATCTCAAAAAACTGAAAAAGAAAAAATAATTTACATACAAGTATCTTCAATAGATATTAAATTAACATTTAATTAATTCTCATTCTACATGCTACACACTTTGAAACCAATACAATCATTCATGTTTCCTCATCAGAATGGAATGAGGAAATATGAATATAGTGGTAACTTTTAATATGTAATTTTTTTTCTACAATGAATTAAATTTAATTGGAAAGCTTTCAATTAGAATGGCAGTCATCTTTAAGCATATTTATTATTAAATTCATATTTCATAAAATACAGTTATTTGTAATTAAACAATTTCCAGAAAATTTTGACATTGATAAGTAAATGTCATAACAGTAAATTTACTTTCTATAATGCCTAATAAATTTCATTATGAGCCATCTGAACAAAATGGCATTATACTGTTTTTCTAATTTATAATTTGAATCCTTGTTTCACTTTTAATATAGCTCTGTTATCATAAAAAATACTTTTTCCATTTTATTACAATTTTAAAATCCTATCTTATATTAATATATAGATTAAATTATAGTAATTGAAAGTGAAGAATGAAACATGTTTAGACACGATGATGGATATAATTAGAGAGGTTGAGGCGCACGTTTTAAACGTGTAAACGTGTACGTGTGACATTCGACGCCGCTTTCCCGTAAGCCTAAAAGTTTGACAATGGTGTTTGGATAGTCGGTGGAATTACGCTCGACATTCCAAACACCATCGTCAAACTTTTAGGCTTACGGGAAAGCGGCGCCGAACGTCACACGTACACATTTACACGTTTAAAATGTGTGCCTCAACCTCTCTATTATTCATCACCATTATTAAATATAGAGTAGAAGTAAATAGTGTTATCTAACATGAATTTATATTATTTATTTACATTTAATAAACAAATTTTAAAAAAGTTTTGTTGCAATTTTACCTTTATTTATTATACTGAACAGCTAAATTACAAAAATCTGACTAATAATAATTATAAGAAATTGAATCTTAACATCATAATTGTAATTAGCATAAACTGTCCATCAACTGCAACTCAAGAGGATGCCATGTGAATGAATTAGCATAAAAATTTAAAAATATAGTGGTCAGCAAACACCAATGCCTGGACTGATGTCAGAGTGAAGTTGTGTCTGTTCAAGCTCCTGGAAAATTTTGGGATATGGATTAACCGAGTATTAAATACAGCTAGTCACTGAGGACAATTTGGTATGCTAATTAGAGGGAGTAATTAAACCTTAAATTTTTGAAAATTCGCATGGGTCTAGCAAGTGGGGGAGTAATAATTCGGGGCAAAAAAGGGGGTCGCATAGTAAGATAATAAGTCACTCCCTAAAGTTTGGTGCTTCTACATTATGTAATTAATTATTTGTTAGTGATCTAGTTTTGTAGCATTAATTCCTATGGCAAATTTTCGAATGATAATGGTCGTTTAAAGGACTTCCAACGGTCAATAACAGTTATCGTTGTAGAGAAATAATATTAATCAAATGATAAACATCTTTGTTTGTATATAAGGATTTTGGGCTCTGATACGGTCAATTTAAAGAGGTACTGGTCAGGCAGAAAGGTCGCCTCCGTGTTTGTAAAATTGTGGACTGTCAACTGGAGCGAACAACGGATGAACAAACAGAAACAAAGTATTGTTAAACGTTGCAATTTTATATTTAATTAAATGTAATACTGTCGGCCATGTTTATATTTATTAATTTACTTCAGAAAATTAACAAGACCGGGACCTCGAAGTGGAGAGAATATTGCACAAAAATGGGTAAAAAATCAGCATGGACAGACCCCTATTATATTGTATGCAAACCCAGAAAAAAGGACTATAATACCAGCAACCATTCAAAAGGAAAATGGAGAATACACTAACTCACTAGAAGACACACTGAAATTACTTATGGAAACACATTTCCCCAAAGACACTAAAAACGACACTAACAAACAACAGGATATTTGTAATCAGGTGGATAACAATCCAAACACAGAAAAAGATATACTCCATTTACTTTTACTGAAGTTTCTAAAGCAATTAAATCCATTCAAAATAATAATTATCTCCTTCCGCCCGTAACCCGAGTTGCGCATGACACTGTGCAGTCCATATCCCGAGTTATCTTGGGCATAGGCTTTAAGGTCCTCAAAAAAGGGCCTTGACTTATAACTTTTCCAAAAATGCATGGATCAGCATATATACATCGTTATCTATAATATCTGCAAATTTCATGAATTATTTGCCGCAAAAATATTTTATGATGATTTACTAATTAGGTAATTAATTGTGTTATTGTTTTTTATGGGAGTTTTTTTCAAATTAATTAAATCGTTTCAAACTTCTATTTGACTGATTTGACTTCAGTAAAATTTTTTAAAACGCTATTAATGTTTTTTGACATTAGCAGGTCTTTTTGTTTAGTAAAATTTTTTCCCCATACCTTCTTTTCAGTCCCCTCATAATTTAATAGCATAAAAATCGAAAAAATTGTGTTATATTTGAACAGATGCGGTAAGTTAGCTCCCCTCCTGCTTTAAACCAATATTCCCCTAAGGCGTATATGAGAACTACCCGGGTAAGCTGACACCAGCTGTTCTCAAGGTCAACCAGCTTGTAAACAATGTAGATTGCATGTGTAAAATTTCATGTCTTGTTAAATGAAAGAATAATAATCCTTGCAGCTATATTTTTCAAATAAAAGCATTTATTTTAAATTATTTTTATTTTTTTATATACTTTTTTGTAAAATCACTTTTTGGAGGGGTTTTTATTTTGCAGGAATTATTTCCTGGCAATTTTTTGGATGTCAGATTCACGTTTGAGTAGAAAAATTGATTGTTTCTATTAAATAATTTTTTTGTGGATTTCTGAATGGCACTTTTTCTACCAAAATCAGTACAGCTTTACTAGAGGAAAATCAACCTATCATGCTATAAACAAAGTCACCAACTACATTGAAAAATCATGGAAAAAAGAACATGTCCTTGTGATATCGAATGACTTCAAAACACCTTCAACTCCTTTTGGTGGCCAGCTCTATTACAGCAATTACAAACCAATAACTGTCCACGAAACCTTTAAGGTAGTTTTTAGTAATGATGTAAAGATAGGATGGTTACTCTTTTTTACAATAACACTACCATTATTGAAAACATACACAGGGGATGCCCCCAGGTTCCTGCTCGGGCCCTGGGATGTGGAACATTGTTTACAACGGCCTACTCAACTGCATTTGTAATGGCTTTGGGGCCTAGTCCCCAATTTCTATCTACCTTATATACACAGCCTGCATAGAGACTTACTTCCTTCCTCTACAGTGCTCCTTTTTGGGGCAGTGTGATTGACAATGTAAGGATTTGAAAGTTACTCAATAAAGTCCAACGGCTTTCTCTTCTTTGGCTGACCAGAGCTTATAGGACAGTGCCTTCAGGTGCTCACTGGTCTTAAACCATTACATCTGAAAGTAAAAGAAATCATGTGGCAATGGCATATGATTTCTTTTAACAACTTAGATCTCAATAAGCCTGGAGGCCTGTTGAAATATATTCAAATCAGAATCCTACCAAATCTGAACATTGAAACAGATATGCAGAGGTCTTTCTCATGCACAGATACCAATCAAATTACATCCCAGTCATCACAGTATAATCCCACAACTCGACCAAAATGAGGAACCAAAACCCTCATTGCAAATTTTTATGGACAAGTCTAAAAACAGCACAAAGGTTGGGGCGGCCTTCGTCATATATGGTAAAGACCCTACTCAACCAATTTATAGTGACAAATTCTGTCTTGCAGAATATTGTACTATCATGCAAGCTGAACTACTAACCATTAACCAAGCAATTAAATACATCAAAAATCAAAAGATCAACAGTCAACATATCCATATATTATCCGAAAGTCAAACTGCCTTAAAAAGGATCCATAATCAAAACTGTTTCCAGTCAAGAATTATTAATCAAGATATAAATGATAACGATAATAATAATCATTATGCACTAACCTGGGTTAAAGGACATAACAGACTAAAAGGAAACAAGGAAGCCGATCACCTTGCAAAGCAAGCTGCAGACTGAAATTCCAGTTAGCTTTAATGGAATAGCTAAGACAACTCTCCAAAACATTTTACACAACACGGTTATTGCTCTTTGGCAGAGAGAGTGGAAGAAAGAAAAAACAGGGAGGCTAACCTTTTCCTTTATACCAAAAATCCAAGAAAGACTTAAATGGAAACACCTGAAAATCAACCATAGCACTTCCCAACTCCTCACGGGCCATGGAACCTACTGTCACTGTCTCAAAGATGCAAACCTACG